ATACCATGTCCTATTCTTCGGCAATAAAGTTAGAATAGGATAGACAAATAATGAAGATCACTATAAATCTATCGTAAGAAGATCGTAAGTCAACCGCTTAAGGTTAATTTACGTGCGATATACGGTACCGATCCGTTTATTGATATTATGTGTACAAACCGTAACATTTTATTTGTCATTCAAACTTTCACAACACGTCATTCATTTTTTTATGCAATTTTATTATTTATTATCGATTCATAAGAAACTATAAGGTTTTACAAATGGATAGTATACCAGATGTAATAAAAACGTAAGTAATAATTTTATAATGTAATTTTACACTGGTAAGCAGGCCTATGCTCAGCACGACCTAAGATGAGCTCGATGGCACAAGTGGTTCACGCGTCCAGCTGCGATCATTAAATTTAAGCATTTTGCGCGCTAACGAGCACTCACCAATTCGGACGGGGCCCGTCGCGTGGTGATATTATCCGCCAGTCTCCCAACTCCACCTTTAAGGAAGACTTATAGATGGGCCTTCCCTAAAGAAAGGCTGAAGATGATGACGACTTACAAGGCGCAGCGCAGAAGGGGGCGGTGTTCGGTGCTACCATAACGCGACGCGTGCTCAATATCATAACCATTTTCTTATTTATAGTATATTTTACTATTATACATTTGTGAGTTTAATTATTATACAGTTTTACACGGACTTTGGAGATATTCTTTTCTTACCATATAAACAAAGGGATCCGGACGCTAACTATCGAGCGGACTGAGAAACCTTTTCATGGTCCTTCGAGAAATCAGGATTTCGGTTCGCGAGTGACTATTCGTGAAGTCGAGGACTTAACCAGTAACCAGTGACTATTGAATACAGCGACAATTTTTTTGTATAGTTAACCATAGGATTGCAGTGATTTAAAACCAAATCTTCTATAAGCAGAGTAAGGCGTAAATAAGGTCAGATCTTACCATTTTATTTATATTTTTTACCAGTTTTATTTTACAACCATAGAGAATCTTTTTGCTAGCCAAACTGAAAGCTTCGAGACTAGGCAAGCTCTTAATTAATATCAAGATGGATGGAGCCGATAGGAAAACCAGGGAATATTGCAAAGGTTGGATTTACTCGAGAATTATTGGAGTGAATACCACAGAAACCATACAAGATGTGCGAACTTGCGGAATTTGTTTCGATACAGCGGAAGAGCTTTATTTGACCATTAAAAATGTTATTAGCGGAATTTTAGGGCATTTAACTCCTCAGCAGCAACCAGGTAAATCAGACGAGTAGATCCAGCTAGATGGTACACCCGCGGCGAGTTACTGTCAACCAGAACAAGCGCCAGGTTACCGTCAACCGGGCCAAACGCCGGGTTACCGCCAACCCGAATCAGCGTCGGGTTACCATCAAGCGGGCCAAGCGCCGGGTTACCGCCAACCCGACCAAGCGCCGGGTTACCGCCAACCGGACCAAGCTCAAAGGACTAGTGGAAACCATAATCCACGCCTACCAAAAGATCATTGCTCTCGGTTATTTCCAAACTTTTTGACCCTTTGGGGTGGCTTACACCATTGAGCACCAATCTGAAAATACTTTTTCAAAGAGTATGGTTAAGCGATTTAGAATGGGATGATTCAATACCAGACGATATAAATAACGAATGGAGTAAATTAAAAAAACTATTTATTTAATATAAATACTATTGAGGAGAACCGGTGGTTGGGAATAAACGAAAACCAAATTGTACATCTTCACGGATTTTGTGATGCGCCCGAAAAGCATACGGTGCAGTAATATATTGTAAAGTTATTAATGGGGATGACGTCACCATAACACTAGTTGCCGCAAAAGCTAGACTAGTTCCGGTTAGTAAAGAAGTATCAATTCCTGCATTAATTGATGATAATCCTGAGTTGATGGGCGCAAAACTTTTATCTGATTTAATGACCAAAATTTTAAATTTCTTACCAGATTACAACATACATGTATACGCCTGGTCGGATTCTATAGCCGTGCTAGGGTGGTTACATGGAGTTCCAGCCCGATGGAACACATTCGTGACGAATCATCTCAAAGAAATAAAGTTATCTATACCATCTGACCAATGGCGCTACGTTAAAAGCGACGAAAATCCAGGCGACTGCGCAACTCGCGGATTAACTATAGAGAAGCTGAAAAATCATGAATTATGCTGGCAATGCCCTTCGTGGTTTCCAACATTTACAACCACAAACGAAGAAAAAACCAGTTACGAAACCACTTTAGAGATGAAAAAATGATTAAAAAAACAGACAAATACCGTTATTTTGAAACAGGCAGATAACACAGCCATATTGAATATTATAGTGTAAATTATTTACTTAATACCTATAGTTCATTAAATAAAATGCGATTACCTATCTATAAAAAGTTTATTTATCCACCATATCTCTCGTTACATGAACTACGTAACGCAAAACTGCTGATCATTAACAACATACAACAATTGGAATTTACTGACGACATAAATGATTTACAGAAGGACGAAAAAGTGCATTCTAAAAGCATAATTTTAAGTCTTAACCCAATATTAAATTTTACCAAGATAAAATTTTAGGTGTGGGTGGAAGATTGAGAAATGCCAAGATCAGTTTTGACATGAAGCTTCCTTTAATACTACCACCTAACCACCGTCTCACAACGTTACTAATCCAGCAGGCTCACGAGTTAACCTTCCACGGAGGAGCGCGCCTCACATAAGCAAACTTGAGACAAAAATATTGGCTTATAAATGATTATATGACCGTCAAAAAGTTTATAAGGAAGTTTGTTATTTGCAGAAAACAGAATCCTACTAACCAATATCACCTGATGGGAGACTTACCACAAACGCGAGTGAGTCATGAGCAAGCATTCTACCATTGTGGGGTCGACTACACAGGTTTTGTTGAGGTCACGGGATAAAAACGACAAAAGGTTATATTGCATTTTTCATATGCATGGCCACAAAAGCCGTGCATTTAGAACTTGTTTCTGATTTGAGCAGTTCACCTTTTCTAGATGCATTAAGCAGAATGTCAACCCGACGTGGAGCCCCACGACACATATATAGCGATAATGGAACCAATTTCGTAGGAGCCAATCGAGTCTTACAAAAACAATTTTACCAAATACTGCAAATATTTAACGATAGTTTTTTTCCCGAGGTTAATGAATTAGGTATTGAATGGCATTTTAATGTTCCCTCCTGGCCTAACGCAGGTGGATTGTGGGAAAGAGCAGTCCGCAGTGTTAAAGACTATCTGAAACCAATCGTCGGGGGTTAAAAATTAACATTCGAGGAATAAACAACACCTTGCCGTGCCTTAATTCTCGCCCTCTGTGCCCGATGTCTCAAGATCCGGATGACCTCGATATATTAACACCAGCACATTTTCTTACAGCACGACCAGGGTCAACCATAATAGAAACGGAACAAGATGCCCGAACCAGATGGCATTTAATATCAAAACTATTCCAAGAACTGTGGAAAAAATGGAAAAGCGAGTACCTAACACAAATCTCTGCTAGAAATAAGTGGAAAATATCACAAAAGAACATCAGTCTTAATGATCTAGTAGTCATACACGACGAAAATCTACCCCCTGGAAAGTGGGCAATGGGTCGTGTGATAGAATTACATCCCGGTGACGACGGCTTGGTCAGGGTTGTCACACTAAAAACAGAAAATGGCACTATGAAGCGAAATATAGTTAAGTTGTCAGTTTTACCAGCTCAACAAAACGGCCTACAGGATAAACCAGCGCAACCAGAACAGGAAGACGAAGATAAATATTTAATTAAACCAAAAACCAGACGGAGATCACCAATTACAAATACATTTACAACCGTAGCTGCTGCGTTAATTTTTTTTTCTGACATTACTGACACCCTGTGCTAGTGCTGAAACCATTCGAAACTTGCCCAACAATCAAACACTTTACTTTGATCCTGTAACCAAGATGCAACTTGTAAGAGATAAATGGACTCTAGTAGTATATTACGATCTCAAACCATATTGGACAGGCCTGGATACTTACAACAAAATCTCAAATTACCTTGAAACTTTATGTACAACCTTGGAAAAGAATAATCATTGTAGTTTAATTATATCACAATTACAGCACCAGTTCGAAGAAATAAAATAATATAATGAACTTTTACTAACGAAGCATTTTAGCGATCACGCCAGACGTCGCCGGCGCGCCGCGGCCTTATTGATGGTGTCGGGTATCTGGCTGGCTCTCTCTAGGTATGGCCAGCTTCTGGCTTCGCAGAAAAATATAGTAAAGATATTGCTACCATACAAACCAACGAAAAACACATAGTCAAAACCAAACCTCCGTAATTGAAGCCGAATTCAACCTAATGAAAAGAATGGAAGCTACCGTGGACAAACAGCATAAAATAATCAATAAGAAACTGAACAACTTACAAAGAACCACTAATACCATACAAAAAGAAATCGTTAACATCTCATATATTCAAGATTTTACGCTATCTGCCATGGCGGGCAATAGTTTGCTGCAAAATATAAAGAGGTTGCAAGATACAATGCTCGATACGATAACAGACACATACCATGGTCAAATTAGTTTACATTTATTAACACCAGATCAAATCAAGAAAGAGCTTCAAGTAATTTATGCGCAAATGCCTCGAGAGCTCACTTTACCAATAAATAATATTCAAAGTGACCTTCCGTACTTTAAATAAATATAAATTATTAAAAGTTAAAGCTCGAGTCACTCAAAGCTACCTTATCTTTGAAATTACATTCCCGCTTATTGGCAGAGAAAGTTATCAGTTATATAAAATTATACCAATTCCGCACCAAACAAATACCAGTATGGTCACCTTACTGCCTGTATCAGAGTATGTTGCAGTGAACCTCAGAAAGGATGCAATTTTCACTCCAACCTCAACTGAATTGAACTTAAATACTTCCCTGATGAATCTAGAAAAGCAGATTAAAGATTTAAAATATAGCAAAATGACTATTGGTGACGTATCATCGCATGATATTCACCAATACAACATAGTTTATGTGCTAGTGGCAATAGCACTAGGTATTGGTGTAGTATGGATTTGGAGGAACGGACAATGTTGCTTGCGATCAAAGACGCGGTTACATCGCCAGGGGAGGATACCCCGCCAGCAGGGTCACCAGGAGCCACAGGGTATGCCGACACCGCTGCCCAGGGCAGAGCCAACTAAAGAACCAGTGTATAGTGAAGTGCAATCGCGAAAGCAGAGTACAGCTGACCGTCAGCTAAGTGCCAGTGAATTAGGTGAAAGTAGTCGTGCCAGTGTACGGTTTCAAAATTTGGCCAAACGATGGCCCTGTGTGAAATGCGTAGTGAATAAGGGGAAAACGTCGCTACCAACCCCTCAAAAACCAAGTGTTTTTACCGTGGAAGACCCTTTAGTTTAAAATGCTTTATATTTTTTAATTTTGTTTATTTTATAATGGTATACGATGCTTATGTTTAGACACGGTCAGTAGTAGGTATTAACTGTTGAAATTTATAATTACTGTATAACATGTATTAGGCTTTCGTGTAATTGCTTTTTAAATAAGTTAATCAATAGGGAACCATTTGTTTCAATTTATCTTTAAACTCCATTTTTATTATCTCATCTCAAGCGCGCGGGAGCTTGTTGGGTGCTACGCTTACAAACAGCGCAGCAATTTGCAATACAGCAAGTTGCACCTTTATACTTAAAATATGGAAATAATTTTAGTACGTAATTAGCTACCTTTAACGAGACGCGTGCTCAATTCAATCCAATTCAATTCGTTTATTGCATATCCACAATGTACAAAAAGATGTTAAATATGACAAAATACGATCATTATGGACCCTGTCGGGCACGCAACTAAATGAGAGATAGAAGAGATTCCATACATGTTTGGCCTAAAGACCAATTATCGTGAAAAATTGTTTCCTAGATTCGAAATTATATAGAATTTTTTGTAAAAACGAATATTATTGACGGACACCCCTGAGAACTTCTATAAACCATATACACTGAACATATTAAAATAATAAAAAACAAATAAGTTATATAGTAAACTAGGGAAATCAAGTCAAGTACCGAAATTATGGATTAGATTCAGGTATATACAGCATGTACATTAATAGATAGTTGCCTGTTTTCAAAGTTAATGCATAAGAGTAACTTTTAAAATCAGGTGTCATTTCCGGTTATAATAAAGTACTATGTGACAGAAACTGAGTGATGATTGTGAATGAGCCACAGATTATAGAGAATTTTTAAACTCTCGTTAACCAAAGAAAGCTAAGAGATTTAGGTTCTATAGTATATATTCAGTAGCTTCATTATTTTTGTTATGTTTTTAAGATAACCATATTTTAGATTTTTAGTGTAGCACACCTTATAATTTTATTTATTTATTAATTTATGGTCAGGGAACGCAGGCTCATAGATAGATACCTTAAAGTTTAATTACAGTTATTATAGTTTTACACGGACTTTGGAGTTATTCTTTTCTTACCATATAAACAAAGGCATCTGGACGCTAACCATCGACCTGACAGAGAAACCTTTTCAGGCGGGTTGGTGTGTATCGAATGAACCCGCCGCGAGCCGCGAGCGAAAGGACAAAAGGACTCGCGTCTATCGGTCCACCCGCTAACGTCAATCCGTCCACTCACTAACGTTTATCCGTCCACCCGTTAACATGTATCCGTCCACCCAGTAACGTCTATCCGTATAGAAAAACACTGCCCCGCCCCGCCGGTCGTATGCATTACGCCTTATATCTTTCGGTGCATTGCAGGAAACCTCGGCTAGCGACTTGCGTAACCTTAGCGCTGGGCATGTGCGCCATCACCGTTTCAGCTGTCGCCATTGGCATCGTTATAGGATACACATACTGCTACCTGGAACATCATTCTGGATATAGAGCTGGTGAGCGTTTTTTTAATATAAACTCCCTCCAAGTAACGTACATTATGTATACAGTAGTGCCCTTAGCACGAACCATTATCGAATTCGAATAGTTGAATTCGATCTTGATATTGGTCAAATGTCAAGAAGTTCTGTCTGGAAGATTTTTAATATTCGTTGCGTCCTCTGTAGCGCTCAAATTTCCATAGAACACTACTTGATATTTGACTCGTATCGAAATCTAATTCAACTATTCGAATTCGATATTGATTTATGGTAAGGTTCAGAATTTCCTAAATATGTAAGCACGGAGCATAAATTATAGTTTTTATCAAACTCCAATCTTACTCTTATTTTACCATAATTATTAAAATGGACGGCGTTTAAACATAACAAGTTACTATCATCATCAACAGCATATTAAGTTATAGTTATTAGTATTGCTACCATATAAGTACCTTGTTTTATGTGAGTTTTTTGTGGGAGACACAAAAAACAAGGTACTTTCTGGTAGCAAACCCGCTACTTACTATAATGTTAGTGACCATGAAAGTTTTGAACAATTTATATAGCCTATTAATATCCCCTACTATTGTCGCTATGAAGAACGGGCCCATTTCAGATTGGTGGACGCTAACGACTGCAAATACAGCCGAGACCAGAGGCCCAAACACGAACTTTGACAGCCTCGTAATCGTGTATCCTCATCTTATTTTTATTTTTTTTTATGGAAGGAGCCATTTTGCTCGTACGTACGGTAGATTTTTTTGTTTCCTCCCAGGCGGGGGAGCGATTGTGAAATTCTCATGGATACCCTACAGCCGGCTGCAAGGTTATTTCAGACTGCTACGGACTAAAACACACCCGTAGTTCATGCTTATGGCCAGAAGGGCCTTACAAGCTTCATCTAAAGCGATCATCCCCTGAGAGGGGGATGATGACGTACGGTAGGGGCGCTGTTTAGTTTTAATAGAAACTTTGACGATGCGATACGATTACGGAGCTGCCAAAGTTCGTGCTTCAGCGTCAAGGCTTTACGTGTTTGCTGAAACACAGAAGAGCGCGCGATTATAATCTTTGTGGCACCCAAATGGGTGCAAATGTTTGCCCGGCCATTGCGAAACTTCTCAACCGTTACTAACTACATTCTCAATAAATTAGTAACAAACAAAATAATAAATACATTGAAGAATTAGGCGTCGTCCTAATTGGCAACGATCGTACGATGGCACGATGGACCTCATCGTGCGATGAAAATAATGTACCTGTGCTCGTGCGACGGCCTACGAGCTGTATTAGGACACTTCTAAAGAAATCTTTATTGTTTCAAAATCATCGCACGACGAGAACGCATCGTGTCATCGATTGATCTTTGCCAATTAGGACGACGTTTTATGCTTTCAGTTCCAGGAAACTATACACACACATCTTACCACCAAATCCTGAACATATCTTATCCTGACAACTCCGGGAGTGGACGCAACGGAACCATCAACGGTGCCCTGGCTTCCAGTGTCCTGGTAACTCGGATTCTGAGTCTCGGGCAAGCGCTGATGCAAGACCAGCTCATCCATCTACCCTGGCATGATGATACTAACATTTTGCTACATTACACGTGAATTTGTCAATAGAGTTTTTGTTTTTTCATTCTGCTTTTGTAATTTACAACTATTTTCTCGATTAGTGGCTAAGGAGAGTTAATTCTGTCTTCAATATTTGCCTATTGAATAAGGCGTATAAAATTCGTATTTCTATGAGAAATTCTATATAAACTACTGTGAAAAATAATCTACCTGATCGTGAACACCACATGAAAATCCGTTTAGTAGTTTTTGAGCTCATCGCGAACATAAACACAAATGGACACAGAGGTGGACTTTGTTTTTTAATAATGTTGTGATGTCGCTGAAAGGACATTGTTCTGCGACCATGCATTGTTAGCCTAAGAACCAACAATCATGAAATATTATTTTCTGGGTTCGAAATTGCAAGTAAATGACTATAAGAACAAAGATAATTGACGGACACTTCTGAGAACTTAAATTATCAGAAATACATAATATTTTTTGAGGTTATGTTTAATATTAAATAAAACATAGGTCAACCTATGAACTTAGTATGAACTCAGTATGAATTGAATTAATATTACAACTAATTCATTTTTATTCGATGCGATTTTAAAGAATAACTATTAGGAAAAACTTGGTAAGGTAAGAATCATGAATAAAATAAAAACTGTAGTTTTGCTTCTTATTTTTTAACTATTTTTCACATAATTGTATCATAATGTATTTTATTTGTATATTACATGTATATTGTATAAATATGCAGCGTGAATGTGTATTAGCTGCTCTTGAATAATTTTGCAGTATGTATGATCCTCTCAGGATGTTGTGGCACAGGTTCTCTAGCACTTGGTAATAAGGGGTCTGCTATTTGGTAACATCGATGGCATATTAGATAGCCGAAATAGTTAAATTAAAGAAAAAACAATCGCAAATAAACACACACAACAGGAAGGAAATCCGAAACGAGAATCCACGAATGCCACAGATTACTACGAATGCAAACTGCCTGCACCACAACCAAGTGTATCGAGTTTTATGCCGGCCCTTCTTGACAACAATCTGTCATTGGTAGTTTTCCAATTACAGCACTACAGCGCATTATGCGGCATAATGCCTATCGTTGAATGTTTCAACTACAGCAACGCTTCGCACAATCGAGTACTCTCAAAAGTAATGTTTTCGTGTGATGCGTGCAATCGTACCAACTCAGTGACAGAAAAAGTGTTTTTTCTTTAAGTTGGCATTGATCGAAATGTTTTATTTATTAAATATCGTTAGTAATATTATTTAATGTTGAAATTTTTTTAAAGTTCTCGTTTCACTGTAGTTTTTTTTTTAAATAATTATACTTAATTTAAATTGTGTTAAAAAATAAATATAAGTATGGATGAAGGTACAAACATTGACTTTTTTTTCAACACTGAACTTAGCGCACTCTGCTGGTGCATTTGAAAACTAATTCACGTTCCAATTAAGCATCAGCATAATTCGGCATTGTGTGCCACTGAGTCGCATTATGCTCTGTAATTGGAAAACTACCCTTGTCATGCTTAATATGGAATAAAAAGAACAGACTGATGTCAAGTTTTCAAAAAGCAAACACAAATAGCCAAGTGAAGTGCCGGCATTAGGAAGAAAGAGTGTTTTGTTTGCAGCGCTGCCATAGATTAGATTACACATAAAATAGTAGTCTCAGATTATTTTTTAACTTTTTAATATAGCTTACTTAACTGGAAGTGTCCGTCACAATCTAAATACTGATAATTATCGCAAAAAATAAACTAAGAATTGTCATAAATGCCAAATTGGTGTTAGTTTGTAGGCCAAATTTAACATTGTCCTTTGTACCGATTATTATTATATAGTAGAAGTCTTGAAGGTTTAACTACGACGTCTGTATATTGTACATACAAAAAAATATTAAGACTACACGTCACTTAATATAATATGTATAATGTTATACGATAAATATCTACACATACACAAGAATATATAATATACGTATTTTAAAAAAAAAAACTAAATACCGTTACACACAATATAAATATTAGGCCGATTGACCAGAAATTTATTCATCATATAAAAATTGTAAAGACTTTTTAGCAAAATACT